GCCCACCCCACTCAATGCAGACCTTTCCACAGACCACCAGAAAGCCACCCATGATAACAAAATGGAGGTAGGAGGAGGTATGTGTGTGTGTGGGGGGGGGGGAGATGTGAGATCTGGCCAGGAGGTAGGATGCAAGAGCGGAGTGCAGGGTCTCATCAGGAGAGGGATGGGAATGCAGGATCTGGTCATGAGGGGAATGGACGGTGCTTACTTGGCTCTGTGCCTCCCACCCTCCCCAGTATCACCCCCTGCTGCTCTCATTGGCTGTGATTCCAGGCGGAGGGGGAGTGGCAGTGCATGGAGTTGCTTCATTCCCCCACAAACTGGATTTGGCCGGCGAGGCTCCTCTCCCACAGCGAGAAGCCGGCACTGGCGCTCCAAACTTGTGGGAGGATCGCAGGGCAGGAGCACCAGTGCAGGTTCCCCACTGCTGGGAGAAGGGTGAGCCCCAAACCCACAGCCCACCTGCAAGACAAATCACAGACCACTAGGGGTCCGTGGACCACCCTTTGAGAACCACTGTTTTAAAGGGAGATAGTCCTCAGCCCCCCGTGACCATCAGGAAGTCTTCTGCAGATACAAAATGGTGCATATTGTAAACTCCGGTGGCTCGGTCCACCCCAATCTTCTGCCGAGAGCAGCTGAAATACCTCTGATCATTTACTGGGCAATTGTAGATTTTCAAATTGCTGTACAACCACTAGCCAAAATGGAATTCACCTTTACAGGATGCTGGCAAAAACTATCAACAGCCTCCTTTGGGGAAATTAAGGGGAAAAAAAACTTGGCAAAGCTGGTACTGAATACCAGAAATTCTTGGATTGAAGCCTAAATCTCAAACCATGAGGCCAAGGATTTGCACATTCTTTTTCATAATGGGGACCACACCCATTACAATCGTCTCCTGGATTCCCTCCACTTTCATTCATGATCACATCACAAACCCCGGACAACTGCACCGATGGTTCATGTGGAAAAGCAACATGAGGGAAGTAGTGTCTGTCTAGATTTTTCTCATGTAACATAGCTGCTGGAAAAAAAGAGGAACACTCCTCTCCCTTCTCCCTCCTCTCCCTGGTGAACAGAAAGCTCTCCACAGACCCCATTCCACCAAGCACCAGTGGTCCATGGACCACAGTCTGAGAACAGATTCATCAGCTAATACTGCTTTTCAAACAGAACACTATGGGACTAAGAAACAGGCATAGTTTCCTCCCTCAGTGGCCACTGAATAAACACCATCTCCCCAGCTCCCAGCCCTTTTGCATTACTGGCATCACCACTCCTTTGTGTACCCACATGCTGTTACTTAAATTGCTTCCATGTTTTCATTACTCGCCCTCTGTGCTGTGTGTATTGAAACTCCTGCAAGCATGCTGAAGAGGTATTTGTAAGCACTGGGGACTAACTGTAGCTATGTTTTAAATTATTATGCAACAAACCTAAGTGATTTTTCCAGTCCTAATAGAGTTAACTCCTCCTTGGGGGTAAAAATAAATGTGAGCACTTCTTCTCTAGGTGTAAAACAGCCATTGGCCCTGCTGTCATTCACATTAAGGGCAATAGATAATCTTGGAAGGGTTCGATTTTTATCGGTAGAGGTAGATACACGTCAATTATACCATATACATACATATGGACAACAACAAAAAATCTCCATCAATAACAATCTAAATTCACAGAGAGGCAAAAAGACACTGCTTGAAAACTTTTAGTGGAATGCCGCCTCAAACTGTATAAAACGTATTGTAATGTCAGCCTTAAATAATTTCCCGCAAAATGGGAACATTTCAATGGAGAGGGGGGAGGAATGCTGAAAAATAAACATCGATATTATCCATCACAATGGTAAAAGTAATAAGTATTGAATTCTCTGAAGCCTAGCTATGTACAGCCATGAACATGTCTCACTGGGAGTTCAAAGGAGTGTGTAGCCCTGAATACGGAACTGGTGGGAAAGTGGAATAATGCCATTGTTCTGAGTTCCAAAGGGAAAAAAATATAGCAGGCCTACCTCTCCATTGAGACCAGTGGAGCTATGCCTACAGAAAATATGACCCATCACTCATTGGTACTATTCTCCTCAGTCAGTGATTTTTTGAGTTTGCTTTTGGTAAAGCAACAGTAGGGCCAGTATAACTTTGTAGTAATAAATACCATGAAAGCACCACAAAACCCTGGCTGGTTTAAGTAGTACAGTCTCTTTCTCATACATAAACAAAGCTGGCAACACTTCTGTAAGCCAACGCAAAAATTCCCTGTATGAGATACGTGCTCCTCTACATAGGAAAAACCCACACAAAAGGGCAAGAAAGCCTTCGCTCTGGTTCAAGTCAAGTTTCAACCTGCAGAGTTTCCTCTTAACCTCAAATTAACTGTAACTTCAGAAAACAATTCTGTGTAACCCTCATGATGCGGATATCAGCCATTCAGCAACCACATGGTTTTACCCTTGAATCCTTTGACCTTCTCACCTGTCCCCGGTACTGTGTCACCTCCTATTACAAATTGCTTTCATTTAGGGCCTGAGACTGCTACCTGAATGGTAAGCTGCACTTACTCAGGTAAGTATAGGGTTCCAAGATCAAGCCCTGTAGACTGTCAGCTCTTCTGGGGCAGGGACATTTGGCTGCGCAAATCATCTAAGCTACTGCATTGCCCTCCTTCAAATCCCTCTCCAAGCTTCTTCTTTGTGGAGGCTCCAACTGGACAATGGTTAGGCAGCTGGTGCTCTATGAGCCCCATTTATTATGCTAATTGCAACCATCTCACCCTTATTATGTGCTCCTCTGTGGATTGTATCCACCTGTTGCCTTTTGCCATATATTTAGATTACCCTTGCCCCAAAGAGTTTACAGTCTTTTTATTATTATTATTATTATTATTATTATTATGTGGATGTACAGTGCCTAACATAAAGGGGCTCTCACCCCTGATGAAAGCATCTTTGTGCTACAGAAAAGCATGATGAACTGACTTAAAAGTCACGTACTCTGCCCACACACCAACACAAACCTGCTGAGATCGATATCTTCCAATTGCCTGACCTTTGCATGAGTCAAATCTTATCCTTGATGTTGCAGTGCTGTGGGTGTCATTTCCATAGCTATTATTTATGTACTTTGTTTAAAAAAAATACAACTTGATTTGAGTTGCCATGCAAGCAAACACGCACCGTGAGGCTAGTACTTTTAATTTGGCCCTGATTTCCAATAGCAGCCTTGGAAGTTCTCCTGGATCCATATACAGAAGTACAGTCAGTGTGTGTTCTTATCGGTAGGGTTCCACAATCATATGATTCTATAAAAGTTTCTTTGGGCACGCAATGAGTAACAGCCAGATTGCGATACCATTATTAACGTTAGATTCTATACATTGAAATCAACAGGACTGCCTGTGGAGTAGATTGTTACTCAATGGGAGTAACAGAATTAATAGCTGGACCTAAGCATTTAGGCTATGTCTACACAGCAACGTTATTCCGAAATAACATAGTGCGTGTCCACACAGTAATCCATTATTTCAAAATAATGGTGAGCTGGAGGACGTCTTACTCTGACTCCTGTAACCCTCATTTTATGAGGAGAAAGGGAAATCGAAGGAAGAGTGTTCTTCCTTTGACTTCCTGCTGCGTAGTTATCGCCAAAAAGCTGAATTAAGCTATTTCGACTTCAGCTATGCAACTAACATAGTTCAAGTTGTGTAGCTTAATTAGAGTTTTGCCCTGCTGTGTAGACATACTCTCATTTACTTTGATGGATATCTGGAAATCCACATCATAGTGGATAAATGTCCCAAGTAAATCACTTCAAAGACTTAAAAGTCGCATATTTCACCCTCATGCAGTATGTTATTCACAGGGATTCAGAGGAAAATTTTCCTTGCTTTTAATCCTCATTCACATTCCTTAAGATTCACTTTGACTACACCAATGCAGGAGCATACATTCCCACCCAATGTAAAGAATAAGAAATCTGAGCCCATAGGGTATTTCAAGACTATTATAAGCACCTGGTAGGAAATGGAGCTAATAATGGAAACATCTTCCCAACCATAGCTTTAGGGGAACTAGCACCATGCTGTAATTGAGAGTAATGGAGCCATTAGCCCTATATATAAGTAGGAACACATTTGTCCTCTGCACACATACCTGTATTTGACAATGCAACTGGAAGTTTACAAAACAAAGGGATTGAGCTACTGTGCTCAGACAAATAGCAGTTAGAAATGGGGGATATCATTTATCCATCAATTAATTAATTAATCGTCATTCTCAACTATTTACAAAATAAAAAAGGCCAGGAAACTTTTTACTTCCTCGGCACTAGCTAACAGGCCAATTCAAGATCATCCTCATACTGTACATGGGAATGCTGGACTCGCCTTGGTTTTGGTCAGCTCCATGTTAACCAAGAAGAGCTTTGCAAACTGGGCAAAATTTATTTCTTGTGCACAAACACCGGATGCCTTAACGTTCTCAGCTGATTATTTGAGCCTCCGCCTGACCTTCCGAAGTTTAGGGCTGTGTGAACCTCAGGCAACCTCTCACAGCACAGAGGGGCAGGTTGCCCCAGGTTAGTCCCTCTCCCAGGAGTTCCCAGCAAGGCAGATGTTCCCCCGTTCAACAAGCCAGAAGAGAAAAACCCGTTGTGTTCCAAATCTGTTTTGATACCAGGGCTGGTTCCTGTTACTTCTGCAAAAGCAGGCTCCAATAATCAGAGCCAAATCTGCCCTCGGAGGCATGAAGCAGGCTCCCGGCCCCTTCCCAAAAGGGCCAAGGGGGGATGGCCAAATGGGAGGGATGGGCAGAATTTGGTCCTCATTGTTCAGGACATCTGATCAGATTATCTCACTTGATCCATATAGAACAGTCTTGTGTTAAAAAAGGCAAGGGGGGGAGGGCAGGGGGCAGGAGAGAAACTGTTCAGTTCATCCACTGTGAACAGTTAACAAAGAGGAAACATAAATGACAGGCCACTTGAAAGCAGAGGTATCCTTACCTTCTTTTTGGAGTGTCCTCTGTCCTCCTCTTTAGCTGCTTTGCTATTTTTCCCACCTCGGGAGAGTTTCTGCTCCCCAGACTGCTTGATGGTGATTTTGATCTCAGGTGGGCAGATATAGTTCTCCAGGTTTTTAGGGGGCTTCTTGGCTCTCTTAGTGGTCTGGATTTTCAGCTTCAGACTCCCCTCTGTAAAGTTCGCCTCCTTAATTGAAAACTCCTGCTCCTCCAGGCCATCTCCTGCCACCCATTTTTCACTGTCCGCATTGGAAGTGGAATCCACGTCTCTCCCAGAACCCAACTCGTCCTCTTCTTCTGGTTCCATTCGTTCCCCGCTCACTGCGATCCCTTTCCCAGAGCCTGAAGCAGGCAACATGGTCTCCCCCGTGCAGCTGGAAGCAGGTGGAGGCTTCACAGAGGCAACCGTGGCCGGCAGGAAATCTGCCTCGCCTCCCCTTTGCCGGGAGCTGCCTAGGGACTCCCTAGCCTCCATGGCAATCTCACGATGCACTGGAGTTTTATAACAGGGGAAGGGGGAAAGGGAAGGTAGTGAGGAGACAAGGGGAGAAAGGGGGAAACGCCAGGAGCTGAATGGTAACTGTCTGTAAAAATTAGAGTCCCAATAGTCTGGATGCTGGAAGAAGCTCAGAAATGATCAAAGCCGCAACTGTTGAAAGAAGAGAGAAGAAAAAGGAAGTCAGCACTCACGCATGTATCAAAGTGCAACCATAGGAATGACAAACAGAACACCACAGGGCTTTCTCCAGATGGGTCCAGTCCACCTGCTGCAAGGTCCCAAGAGCCTTTAATGAAGCACATGGAAGTTGACGCCACTCAGCTTTAGCCAAAACTGGGGCCTAAAATACTAAGGAGGAGCCATCTTACCAACGATGACAACTTATATCCCAGTGTGATTGACTGAAACACACACACACACACACACACACACACAAACATACGTATATCTACGCATGACACAAGTTGCCTGAATTTGGGATTAATATGCATCAGATCAAGCCGGAAATGCATCAAAGGTGATGTTCCACCCAGGACCGGTCCTAACCAATTGGCGACCCCAGGCAACTGCCCGGCTCTGGTTCCACCATGCTTTAAGGCTCTGGAGGAAACCTGGAGGTCCCCCTTTTCAAAAGCAACTCTCAGTTTCACATACCTCAGTTTTGGGATGCCTTGCCTGAAAGAATTGGTTTTCAGAAAGCCCTCACACCGTGAAAACCAGGCACCTTTCAGGTTCCTCATGTTGGAAATGCAAAAAAACAGGGGGAGGGGGAGAAGTCCCCATTGTCTAATCCCTTTTGAAAATCTTGCCCTGAATGTATAGGAGAAGCTATGGAGTTTCAATAGAATTCATGCAATTTAAAAAAAACAAATTGACTTGTTTCATACCAAGTTATATAAAGACCAAGACAACACCAAGCATCCAATGAACAATATTCTCAGGAATCAGCTGCATACAAAATATTGAAGCAAACAGAGATTTCCCAACCTACCCCTTGTAGCAACAAAGTGTAGAAACATCACCAGGACATAGCAATTTGAGCAGATAATCAAGGCCATCCTTACCAATATGCAAAATACGCAGTTGTGTAGGGCTCCCTGGGTCTTAATGTCCACCTGCCTCTTCCTAGCCTGGTCTGTAGCTCTGCTTCCTCAAGAAAGGATCTAGTAAACTTAAAACTGAAAAAGCCTGCCAAGCCTATTAGCAGAGCATCGAACCTGGGAAAGAGCCATTCAAGTGGTAACGAAGCCATTTAATAGGCATTTGCCAACCCAGGTATATACCATCCTTTTCTGATTGACTGTGGTCATTTATGGGACCTTAGTGTAAAATTTGCTTTAAAATATTTAATTAGTGCATTGTTGAAATTATAAAATCACATCCCTAAAAACTGTCATTCCCTTCCCCCAGGCTGCTGGCAGGCATACGGACACCAGTTTAATAGTACGGTATAGGGCCCCATAAGCCAGTCGTCATGACTGTGTGTTTCACTGTAACACCTGGTCATTGTAGAACAAAGCTTGGCACGAGAAATCATACCAGCTCTCCTGGGGGGTCTGCCCTTTGCATGGCCCTCTACTTTCCACTTTTTAAAGTTCTTCAGATTGACCTTAAAGTTGAGGAGAAATGGTCCTGGGCCCTCTTTTCTCAGTTGCCCACTGGAGTGTGGGCAGAGGTCCAGGCTTGGCCTGTGATCGTAGTGGTGAAAAACCCTTACCGTCCTACAGCTAAATGATGTGGTAACCCGAGTACAGTTCCTAATAGACCGATATCCACAGGGAACCACCATAAATAACACTAGCTGGCTTCCTTTTTGGCAGAGGAACTTAGAACTAAGCAACTTACAGAGACGGAGCTATCAGCTGGCCTCAGAAGTGGTTTCTCCCACTCATGATAAAGATACATTGGCCAAGCGTATGGAGAAGCTTGTGCCCAAGCGGCATGCCCTCTCTGAATAAAGACATGGCTTTCGTGCTCAGAGCTGTTGAGCCCACTCCTCCCATAAGCACTGAGTAGAAAGGGATCCCTCCTATGCAATGGGGGTAACGATATCTCACTCAAATGAGCATTGGGAGGGTTTTTTAGTGAATGTCTGTACATTGCTTTGCACTTGTGAAGGTTTTGCTTAATGCTAGCTACTATCATTATTAGTTTAAATAAGGGACATATAACCTGCCTGATTATTTTGATTACACAGGTATAACCCAGCCTCGGAGTTCACTAGCTCCTAGGATGATGGAATCACCCCTAAGGGGTCCTACCCAGTGTTCCCTGTAAGCTGTGCCCTTGGACAGCCACCCCGGAGAGATTCAGGTACCTCCCGGTTGATTAGCAGAGTGCCCACAGACAACCAAAGGTTACAGCGTGTGTTTCTCCTGGTGGTACACATCCATGCACACCTCAGGGCACATAACATTTATTATGCATGGAGATGGAAAAAAATTAGAAGGAACATTGATCCTACCCTATATAGACCACGGCCATCATGGCTACTGGGGGTCTTCTGATGCATTTCCCAGCATGACTGGAGACAGCGAGAGGGAAGGCTGGATTAGAAACACCTGCTGAGGCAAATAGGCTTCTGCATGAAATTATTATTTTGGACGCGGTGGGGGCCACGATGAGCCAAGGCTGCTCAGCCCCTCAGTGAAAGGACACAGCCCGACTCAGAGACACAGCAACTAGGTTTAGTTATCCACGTTGCGCTTGGGAGCCAAGAGAGAAGTGAATCAGTACAGCAAGTCTCTGGGTAACAAATTGCCCCCTCCTCCATGCCACAAAGAGGCCTGGGAGCAGCTGCAAGAAAGCCTCATGGGTCAGGCAGTTCCAACTCAGGTAGAGGTCACCATCCCAGACTGGCAGAGATCTGAACCAGCACCAGAGCCAGGTGAGACCTCCACAGGACTGAGAATCACGGAGTGAGGCAAGGACCCTTCCCCCACCCAGGTGAAGGGACCGTTAGAGGATCCTTCAAGCCAGCCTACAAGATCAGCACTCCAGCACTCGCCTCTGGACTCAGCCTCCATACACCATCCACCAAGGAGGGAGCTGGGGGTTGGGAAAAGCTGGCAGTGTTGAGAGGAGGGACATGTGTTGATGTCTAGTGTTATTAGTTAACCCTAACCTTTTCCTTCTCCAGATCACAACTTTCTGCTCCCATTAAAGCTCCTCTTGGTTATGTTGTTATTTTGGGATGTGTCATTTCTTTCTTGGGTTTGTGTTCAGGTGCTTTACGTTTTCTAGCATGCTGCCTTTTATACTCCTGGCCAGCAGTGGTAGCAATATGACTGGAGCTGAGTGAGGAATCACCTTCTTAGGTGGAGGCATCAAGTGTCACAAAAACAGTGGCACCCAGAACCTAACTCCCTGCAAAGAGAGGAAAGAAACCTCTGCAAGCCGCAAATGCCAGCGAGGTTTAAGCTATATCTTGGGGGAAGGGCTACACATGTAACTACTCCACCTAGTTAACTGACCTGGCCTCCTGCCATGCTTTGTTCCCAAACAGGTGATGGCATCAGAGTCAGGGATACTTTCCATTTCCATCCATGCCAATCAAATAAAGCTCCTTATTTATCTGACATTTTGCATTGTTAATTTCCTTACCAAGGAACACATTGTACAGGCACACCGAGTCCTGAAATCAACACAAGGTGGTCAAGTTCTGCTGTGCAGCATTCCAGCAAGTTACTGCTTGTGTGTGTGTGTGTGCGCGCGTGCGCGCATGTGCGTGCGCACGCGATGGGCCCTCTGGGTGGGACCTCTGCCCACAGGACATTAACCCTTTCCCCTGCTGGGAGAAAGAGCAAGCACCCAACTCAGTCACGGTGCAAGGGCTGGGCCTGCCCTAGAGGTCAGTGTCTCAGGGAGGGGGGGGCTACAGGGTGATCTCCCACCTCTTTGCAGCCAGGGGCTTCTGCTCCCCACTGCTTTGTCGGAGCCTCCCCATTTATTTATTGACAAATACAATTTGCGGAATTTTCAAAATATTATGCACAGAAATGTTTGGGGGATTTTGGGAGGGGGGGGTGCAGAATGCCCTCGGGATTCAGGGCTGACCCAACCTTGGCTCCTAACCCAAGCTTTGGCCCTGATCCCATCTAGGTACCTAACTCTGATCTAAATTATATCAATGTAAATCAGGAGTAGCTGAAGAAAGGCATCTGTACTGTATTAACCTCAGATGGGTGTAAATTGGGGCAGATTAGGTTCTAAGAATCTCGGCTTCATCTTGCGGAAGAATTTGCAAACCATAATATCAACAGACCTGCAGCAATAAACAAACAATGATCCACTATATTGCTCTTCAGCAATTAAATGGGTCATTGTTTAAAGTAACTCTTTATTCTGCTCCAGGGCTAATAGTTAGATGACTTGGGCGATAGGACATCATACTTGTCTTTCTTGTTTGGGCAGACTGCACATGCTTTCACTAGTTAGGAAACCTCAGTTCAACTTCCTGAGTAAGCAGTCTCCTGGGTAGCGCTCCACCTCTATTTCTCTCCCTAGCTTCAGGCATGCCGGTGCTGTGAGAACTATTTCCAAGGTTAAAGCACTAGCCGTCAAGACAACACTCGACATGTTAATGGGGATACCACAGAACTACCGGTAAGTCACTCAGCAGGAGCAAAGTTACAATGTGACAATACTCTTTTGTTAGTGTTTTCCCTAAATCCTCACCCTTCAAGATACTAGGTGGTGGGCATCTTCAGAGTGGAACAAAATAAAATCAGGGACCAGCAAGAAAAGCTTTGGTTAACTTTTGTTTTGTTTTCTTTATAGTTATAAAGTCAAACTCCAAAACAAATCCTGGATCCAAATATTGGGGAAGTGTAGTCCCTGATTCAGAAATTATGGCTTGGGTCTGTTTCTAGTGGTTTTGCATTGTTATATGGCTCTGTGGTTCCAGGTATCATCCAGGAATGCAAGTAAAAGGGCTAAAATAATGCAAAAAAAGTACTTCTGGTCCAAATGGCTAGAATTCTCATGAGAAAGCTTATCTGCCTGTTTTACAAGTCCAAAGTATTGGGCTAATTCAGTCATTTAAATGTTAACCCAAACTAACCCTCCATACCTTTTGAGATTCATAGTATGAGGTGATGGTCAATAACTTACCACAGGTGCTTCACAGTCTCAGAAATAAATTCCCAGCA